AGCCGATGCATCGGGGATGCATCAGCGATGCGGCGCGATCCTTCAATCCATCTGTTCGGACCCTGTTTGGAGGCCTCCAGTCTGCAGAGCCCGTAGCCGGCGAAGAGCGCTGCAAGATCCGCTTTCTTGTCATCGGGGGCGCTTGTCCCTCGAGGGCGTCCAGGAGTGGAAGGTAGGGCAGGGTGACAGCATTTCTCACCACCCACCAAACCACCCCAACCCAACCCGAAGGCTCAGATTTACCCTCGATTTCCAGTGGGGGGGGTCGGGAAACATTGAAAAAACGCATGTGGAACCCTTATCCCCCCCCAACCCGAAATTCGGGTCTTCGGGTTGGGTTGGGGTGGTCTGGTAGGTAGTCAATTTCGGGGTGCTCCTGGATGCTTTCTCGCCTCGGGCTGCTTTCCAGCAGCTGCGCCTCGTCGAGGGCGCCCTGGGGGCGCCTGCATCGTCCCGACCGGCCGCCCGAGGTCCGAGCCATGACCCGAGATCCACCAGGCGTCGAGGGGGTGGGCACGGACTGGGATTAAGCCAGGCCTGTCCCTCTACAGGAGGAATGTTCAGACATACTAAAATAGTCATGTGATCTTTTCTTCTTACATTGCCATGACTATTTTTATTATTATCACCATTATAACTTTAATCATTACGAATCATTATAGTATTACCACTGTCATTATCAATGCTGCTATTATTATTATTATTATTATGATCATCATTATTATCATTATTATTATTATTATTATGATTATTATTATTATTACTTTTATTATTATCATGATTATTATTATTACTATTCTTTTTATTATGATGATGACGCTGATGATGATGATGATGATGATGATGATGATGATGATGATGATGATGATGAGGAGGAGGATGAGGATGGTGATGGTGATGATGATGATGCTGCTGATGATGATGCTGCTGATGATGATTGTTATTACTATTATCAATATTGTTGTCAATGTTGTTATCATCATGATTATTATCGTCATCTCCATCATTATTAGTATTTATTATTTTGATGGCTATTATTTATAGTATCACTACTTCTATTATCATCAGTATTGTTGTTGCTGTTGACTTCTCACTTCTGAAGAATAATTATTGTTGATCCTCCTGACCGGTGCATACTGTTTTTTCTTAATCAAAGTGTGCCCCTCGACGCTCGCACCCTGTTTTTTGACAGGGAAAGTCTTCCTGCTCAAACTGGGCCCCTGGCCCCCGGGTTACAACAACAACGGCTCCCGCCTGAGACTTCCTTGCAATTTAGCCAGGACCCTCGCTCCCTCCCGAGACTTCCCCGCATTTTATTCAGGAATCGCGCTCTCGCTTGGGACTTCCTGACAATTTGTTCAGGAATCGCTCTCCCGGCGCTCTGGAGTCGCGCTCTCGCTGGAGACTTGCTTGCAACTTACTGAAGAATGGCCTTGCGTTGGAATTTCTTGCAATTTGCCCACGCGCCGCGCTCCTGACACCGAGGCGCCCAGGAGTCGCGCCCGTTGTGGCCCCATGTGCATGCCCTTCGTGGCCCCGCTGTCGCCATTTGTGTCCCCCTCACTGTCCTACGTGGCCCAGTTGCTACCCTCAGTGGCCCCATAGTTGCCTTCTGTGGCCCCGCATCATCTGCACTTCGTGGCCCCCGCTCGTTCGCGCTCTTCGTGGCCCCATACGCATTCCCTTCGTGTCCCCGCTGTCGCCCTTCGTGGCCTACTTCGTGCCCTTCGTGGCCCTGCTGTCGTTCTCTCTCGCTCTCGCTTTCGCTCGTCGTCGCCGTCGTCGTCGTCGCCGTCGTCTTCGACGTCGTCGTCGTCGTCGTCGTCGTCGTCGTCGTCGTCGTCGTGGTCGGTCCCCTGTCCGTCCCTCTTGGGGTCGGGTCGACGGTCCGCGGCCGCCCCGCCGATCAGCGCTGCCGCTGGCCAGGCCGACGGTCCGCGGCCGCCCCGCCGCTTGCCGGGGCCCGGCCTGCAGGGAAGAAAGGTATACCCCCACAAGGGGTTCGATCGAAGACGAAGAGGGCGGGTATCGAGGGTTTGGGAAATACGCGTTATTGGACACTCGAGCATATAAGGGCGAACAGTTTTTAAATTATTGTTGCTGCTGTTGTTGTAGTAGTTGTTGTTGATGTCGTTGTAATTCTTTTTATTCTTATCCTGTTTATGGTTAATATTTTTAAAGTCAATGTTTGAATATTTTGGTTTGTTTGTAATGGTTCGCCCAACATCCGCCTGTAGGGAGACATGTCCGACATAAGACTAGGGTAGTGAGGATCTCATTGGCTGGGACAGTCAAGCTTTCCCAGCTTTCATAGCCCTCTGTTCTTCGTTCGATGCTTCCTCTGGCCCCCCCTCGTCCCCCTCCCAATGATGCGCTAATTAACCACCCCTGTCTCCCGAGCCCCCCTCTTCGGCGCACCTGATGTCCCAAGGCGGCTGGAAAGTTTTACACCCCTACGGTGGCGCGTCGGGGCGTAACCGTTCTGGCCGCCCTGGGGCAGGCGTCCCCGATGGCGGAACAGCGTGTGCTCGATCGCGTTTCGTCCGCTGAGACCATCTCGCCGCCGCCGCCGCCGCTGTCGTTGTGGTCGTGGTCATGGTCGTGGTCGTGGTCGTGGTAGTCGTCGTCGTCGTCGTCGTCCTCGTCGTCGTCGTCGTCGTTTTCGTGGTCATCGTCGTCGTCGTTTTCGTGGTCGTCGTCGTCGTTTTCGTGGTCGTCGTCGTCGTCGTCGCCGACGACGTCGCGGTTCTTCTCTTCCTCCTCCCCCCATCTCCTCCCCGTCCTTCCCAAGTTGCGCAAACGTTGGATGCCAGGCCCCTCTTGTGTGGGAGCGCCTGCGGATCAGACTTCCCCCCCGTGGCCAGACGCCGAATGCAGCCAGTGCCGCAGCAGCCGCGCGCTGGGCTGGAAGAGAGGGTGCGATAGGCCTGCGTCGTGCCGACGGGCGGCGACTCCGCCGCCTGCGTTCAACGTGGAGCTCCGCCAGCGACCCAGAGTCGGTCGATGTTGACCGATCTGACGTTACGGGAACGGCCCATCGTTCCAGGCCGAACCATCCCCGCGGTGTCAGAAACCAGCGGCGAAGTTGGCGCGACACGATCCTGATAGGGGGCAAGGGCGGGGCAGGTGCACGACGGGCGGGGCGCTCGGGGCAGCAGCAGGCTCCGTCCTGTGAGGCCCGCTGTCGTGGCTTCCGCGCCCCTCCTCCTCCTCCTCCTCTTCCTCCTCCTTTCTTTCTCCTCCTAATACTTCTACTCTTACTCCTACCCCTAATCATAGTCCTACTCCTACTCCTACTTCTATTCCTAATCCTACTCCGACTCCTACTCTTTCCTCCTGCTCCTACTCTTTCCTCCTGCTTCTTCGGCTCCGCCCTCTTCCTCTCCCCTTTCTCCTCCTCCTCGTCCTCCTCGTCCTCCTCCTCCTCCTCTTCCTCCTCCTCCCCTCTCATCTTTCTCCCCTTCCTCTCTCCTTCTCTCTTCCTCCCCTCCTCCTCCGCCTCCTCCCCTCTCCCTGTTCTTCTGGTGTCCTCCTCTCTTTTCCTCTTTCCCCTTCCCTGATCTTCTGTCGCCTCCTCCCCCCCAAACTTCTCCCCATCCTCCTCATCCCCTGCCCTCCCCTGTCCTTCCCTCCTCCTCCACTCCTCCTCTCCTCTGAGCATCGGCACGTTCCTTCCCCCTTGCCCCTTCTTGAGGCTCCCGCGTGAGTGGACATCTCGCCACGTTCTCGCCATGATTTCGCCATTGCGGCGACCCTGGCGATTCTCTTCTAGATCTCGGCATCCGAGGGCCGCTTTCGGGGCCCGGGGCCATCAAAAGTGTATCCGCGACGACATTCCCCCCCCCCCCCCAGGGAAACAGTCGGGACTTTGGGGCCGCGCGGGTGGACATCTCACCGCGTTTTGCAATGTTCTCCCCCCGCCTCTCTTCTCCCCGCCCTGCGGTTGCAAAGCCGCGGTGCCGCGAGCGCGCCGGGCGCGTCACCGCTGCCGGCTCCGCGGCTCCGCGTGCGGAGGCGTTGTTGCGAAATACGCCCGCCGCGAGCACAGTACGGAAGTCGGTGCCTGCTTAGGCGCACGGGAGAGCGGCTTGCCACTTTCGTCCTTTGGTCTTACATTGTCGCCGCGGTGCCCCTGCTGAACAGCGTGTAGGACGGACGAGTGGCACATGCCGTATACGGGCCGCCGCCAAGAGGCCATCTCCACGGAGGCAGCGGCCACAGAAGAGCTACGGGTGCTGGCCGTCCTCCTGTTCAGAGGCCCCCATGTGCAGTCCTGCTAGAGGCAGACGTGAAGGTGCTGGTGGTGCTGGCTGGGTGGTTGGTGGCAAGCACTGTCGAACAGAACGTGTTGGCTACGAGGCCGACACTTCATATCATGCGAACATTGTGGCAGATGTGGCGACCGCGGAGCTGATGGCGGCAAGCGACCTATCTGATGGAGTCGAGCAGCTGAGGAGCCGTTTCGGCTGACCCACATCTTTTCAGTGCTTCAGGGAAATGAAGCGGGCGCGGTTGGACTGGCTGATTGTTCGAGTCTCAAACGTTCTCCCCCAGGCAGGTATATCGGCAGGGCCAGAATGACTCGTCCCAGAAACACCTCAAACACCTAAACGCGTTTCTCTCTCCGAGTTGTGTTTGTGCTGCTCCAGGGGTTGGACCTATGGTCTGGGGATGTTTCAGCAACGCCCAGAGAAATCCTGTACATCGAGCGTGCAAGTAGGGCCCTTTCTTTTTCTGTGCGCTTCAGCTTTTGCTTCGGCTTCAGCGGTAAGCCAGCTGCAAAGCGCCTTCGGTCCAGCTCGCCCGAACCTGGTGTTCCGTTTTTGTTCCGCTCGCACGGATGCCTCTTCTTCACTTCTTTTCATCCTCTCCCGCCCTTTCTCTCCCCTCTTCTCGTCCCTGCCGCCCTCGCAAAGTGGATCCGCTGGAGGAAGAGGAAAAGGAGGGAGGTAACGAGAGGCAGGAGGAGGAGGAGGAGACGGAGGAGGAGGAGGAGGAACTGTTAAGCGGGAGGAGGAAGGAGCAAAAAGGATACCCGCCTCAAGTCAAACAACCCTCCCCCGCTCTCGCAAGGCCTGGCGGGCCGCCAGGGCGGAGACCGCTGCCGCCGCAGATGATGGGCCGCAGGACGGCCCAGCCAGGGTTCTTCTTCTTCTTCTATTTCTTCTTCGTCGTCGTCGTTCGATGATGGATGGCCGCGCTGTGAAGGAGGGATGAGAGGGATGGAGGGATGAAGCGAGGGAGGGAGGATTGCGTGTGAGGAGGATAGTGGTGGTGGTGGTGGTGGTGGTGGAGATGATGATGATGATGATGATGATGGTGTTGGTGGTGGTGATAATAATGAGGAGGATACGGAAGGTTATAATGATGATGAGGACGACGATGATGACGATGACGATGATGACGACGACGAAGGCGGCACCGACGACGATGATGATGACGATGATGACGATGCTGATGCTGATGATGACGCTGATGACGATGATGAGGATGATGATGATGAGGGGGATGCTGATGACAACGATGATGACGATGCGGATGATGATGGTGACGATGATGATAAGGATGTTGATGATGGTGATGATGCTGATGATGGTGATGATGATGCTGATGGTGAGGATCTTGCTGCTTACGATGATGATCATGTTGCTGCTGATGATGCTGCTGATGCTGACCATGATGATGCTGTCGATGAAGACCATGCTGTTCATGATACGGACGATGCTGCTGATGATTATGTTTATGAGGATGAGGATGTTGATGATTGGGGATGTTGATGATGAGGCTGACGACGATGATGGTGAGGCTGATGATGATGGCGATGCTGGTGGTGATGATGATGATGATGATGCTGCTGATGACGATAACGATGACAAGGATGATGATGATGATGATGATGATGATGAGGATGATGATGATGATGATGATGATGATGCTGATGATGATGATGATGATGATGATGATGATGATGATGATGATGATGATGTTGATGATGGTGATGCTGATTACTGATGCATGTGCTGATGCTGATGCTGAGGCTGCTGCTGTTGATGATGATATTGACGATGAGGATGATTATGATGATGCTGATGATGATGAGGAGGAGGAGGAGGAGGAGGATGATGATGCGGAGAAGGAGGAGCAGAGCAGAGCAGATCAGAGAAGACCAGTGCAGAGCAGAGCAGAGCAGAGCTTAGCAGCACATCATTGTAGAACTGAGTGGCCAGGTGGGTGGGTGACCGCACCCGGGCTCAACATCGAAACAAAACAGGATGACAAGGAAGAGGAGGAGGAGGAGGAGGAGGAGGAAAGGGAGCAGACGCATCAACGATGTTGGAATAAACCATCCCTCGGGGCTCCCTCTTCATCGGCCCCTGGAAGGGTTCATTTCCACTGAGGGAAGTGCCCTGTTGGCAGACACCCGTTTGAAGATCCTGTAACGTGCCCAAACAGCATTCTCGGGACCCCAGCGCCACGAATTAACCTGACTGTTGCGTTTTGACGATCCTTAATCGTGCCAGAACACCGTTCTTGGGACGCCACCACCGCGAATCAATGTTGCGCCTTGACTGCCCTGAATCGTTTCAAAGCACAATTTCTAGCCTTGCGAATCCGTGAAACCCTTTCCTTGGGAAGAGAGTGTGCGCGGCGCTAAGTCGAGAGCTACAGTTTGAAAAGGAACCGCCCTCAATACGTATAGCTCTCGCAACTTTGTAAGACGAGTGTGTGCGGCGCGAAGATTAGAGCCACATGTTGAACACCACCCGCTCTAATCTGTAACAATCTTTCAAAGTTTTGAGTCGAATGTCCGCGGCGCTAAGTCGAGGGGCACATTTTGAAAACCGCGCGCCCTCCATTTGTGAAGCTGCTGCCAAAACTTCAGGATCATAAACAGTAAGGGAGTCTCAGGCGAAACGCTCAGTCCGCCCTTCCGACGGGCCTCGGGGTGCGACATGGAGGAGTTAGTTATTTATATGGAAAAGGAATGAATGATGATGACGGTGATAAGGATGATGATGATGATGATGATGATGATGATGATGATGATGATGATGATGATGATGATGATGATGATGATGATGATGCCGCTGCTGCTGCTGCTGCTGCTGCTGCTGATGATGATGATGATGATGATGATGATGATGATGATGAGGAGGAGGATGCGGATGAGGATGAGGATGAGGAGGATGATGATGAGGATGATGAGGAGAAGGAGGAGGAGCATTAGGAGGAGACGGATGAGGAGGAGGAGGAGGAGGAGGAGGAGGAGGAGGAGGAGGAGGAGGAGGAGAGAGGCTAACAACGCTCTTTCCAGCCACCAGGAACCAGGAACCAGGAGGAGGATGAGGAGGAGGATGAGGAGGAGGAGGAGGAGGAGGAGGAGGAGGAGCGGGCGCCGCTTCTGGAGGGGCGAGGTCGAGGCGACTCGGGGGCGGTTTTCTTTATCTTTCTTGCTCTCTCCCTTTCTCTTTTTCTATCCCTCTCTCCATCTCTCTTTCTCTGTAGCCCTCTCTCGCTCTCTCTCCCCCATTCCCCCTCTGTTCCCTATCATCTCTCTCGCTCTCTCTTCCCCCCTCTCCTTCTCCCTCCCCCTCTCTAAATGTTCATGGGGAGGAGTTTCATCCCTTTACCTTCCCCCCAGGAGGACGGAGTGATGATGAGGTTTCTTTCCGCCCCTGTCCGTCAGGAGGAGGAGGAGGAGGAGGAGGAGGAGGAGGATATTCTGTCCCTCCCCTTTCCCTAAGGATGGAGGAGGAGGGGATTCCGTCCCTTTCCCTCCGACAGAAAGGGGACGATGGTCGTTCCTTCCATGTTCCCTCAGGAAGGAGGAGGATGTCCTGCACCTCCCCGTTCCCTCAGGATGGAGGAGGAGGAAACTCCTCCCGTTTCCCTCCTGAAAGTGGAGGGGGAGGAGGTTCATTCCTTTTCCCTCCCCCTCCTTCAGGGGGAAGAGTGAGGAGGAGGAGGAGGAGGAGGAGGCGGAGGAGGAGGAGGAGGAGGAGGAGGAGGAGGAGGAGGAGGCGGAGGAGGAGGAGGAGGAGGAGGAGGAGGAGGAGGCGAGGAGGAGGAAGAGGAGGGGGAGGAGGAGGAGGGGGAGGCGGATGATGATGATGATGATGATGATGATGATGCTGATGATGCTGATGCTGATGATGATGATGATGATGATGATCAGGATGATGCTGATGATGCTGATGATGCTGATGATGCTGATGATGATGACGATTGTGGTGATGATGATGATGCTGATGATGATGATGCTGATTATGATGATGATGATGATGCTGCTGCTGTTGCTTATGATGATGATGCTGCTGATGATGATGATGGTGATGATGATGCTGCTGATACTGATGATGATCATGATGCTGATGCTGATGCCGATAATCATGATGCTGCTGATGATGCTGATGATGATGATGATGATGAAGATGCTGATGCTGACGAGGATGATGCGGATGAGGAGGAGGATGGACTCTACATGATAATACGATGATGATGACGGTGCGGATGATGACGATGATGATTCTTATGCTGGTGCTGGTAATGATGATGATGATGATGCTGATGATGATGATGATGATGCTGATGATGATGATGATACTGCTGATGATGCTGATGATGATGATGCTGACGATGTTTATGATGATGATGACGATGATGATGATAATGCTGATGATTATGATGATGATGCTGGTGCTGATGAGGATGATGATGATGATGACGAGGATGATGATGATGATGATGATGATGATGATGATGAGGATGATGATGATAATGATGATGATGATGATGATGGTGATGATGCTGATGCTGATGATGATGATGATGCTGATGATGATGATGATGACGATGAAGCTGATGATTATGATGATGCTGATGATGATGCTGCTGATGGTGATGATGATGATGATGACGATGATGCTGATGATGATGATGATGATGATGATGATGATGATGCTGATGATGATGATGATGATAATGAGGAGGATACGGAAGGTTATAATGATGATGAGGGCGACGATGATGACGATGACGATGATGACGACGACGAAGGCGGCACCGACGACGATGATGATGACGATGATGACGATGCTGATGCTGATGATGACGCTGATGACGATGATGAGGATGATGATGATGATGAGGGGGATGCTGATGACAACGATGATGACGATGCGGATGATGATGGTGACGATGATGATAAGGATGTTGATGATGGTGATGATGCTGATGATGGTGATGATGATGCTGATGGTGAGGATCTTGCTGCTTACGATGATGATCATGTTGCTGCTGATGATGCTGCTGATGCTGACCATGATGATGCTGTCGATGAAGACCATGCTGTTCATGATACGGACGATGCTGCTGATGATTATGTTTATGAGGATGAGGATGTTGATGATTGGGGATGTTGATGATGAGGCTGACGACGATGATGGTGAGGCTGATGATGATGGCGATGTTGGTGATGATGATGATGCTGATGATGATGATGATGATGATGATGATGATGATGCTGCTGATGACGATAACGATGACAAGGATGATGATGATGATGTTGATGATGGTGATGCTGATTACTGATGCTTGTGCTGATGCTGATGCTGAGGCTGCTGCTGTTGATGATGATATTGACGATGAGGATGATTATGATGATGCTGATGATGATGAGGAGGAGGAGGATGATGATGCGGAGAAGGAGGAGCAGAGCAGAGCAGAGCAGAGAAGACCAGTGCAGAGCAGAGCAGAGCAGAGCAGAGCAGCACATCATTGTAGAAATGAGTGGCCAGGTGGGTGGGTGACCGCACCCGGGCTCAACATCGAAACAAAACAGGATGACAAGGAAGAGGAGGAGGAGGAGGAGGAAAGGGAGCAGACGCATCAACGATGTTGGAATAAACCATCCCTCGGGGCTCCCTCTTCATCGGCCCCTGGAAGGGTTCATTTCCACTGAGGGAAGTGCCCTATTGGCAGACACCCGTTTGAAGATCCTGTAACGTGCCCAAACAGCATTTTCGGGACCCCAGCGCCACGAATCAACCTGACTGTTGCGTTTTGACGATCCGTAATCGTGCCAGAACACCGTTCTTGGGACGCCACCACCGCGAATCAATGTTGCG